CTGCGTGCTTTTCAAACAGAGGGAAAGAACAAATATATTTCTACAAAGTCATTACAGCGAATTGACATCTGGCCTCAATTTCTCTTTCTTTAAATAAGAAAAAAAACATCCTCAAAAACTTTGCTTTTGGAAGAGGAAAGCTGCTTGCATAGGAGGAAATTCTCAGACAGGGAAAACATATTACAGAGCTATAAGTTGCCCAGGATGGCTTTCCCTTCCTGCTGTAAAACATCTCCTGAACCTGAATGGCTTTTGAATTAAGCTCAACAAGAGGGAACACATCAGCATGACAACACCAACTCTCCTGTTGGACATTCAGACTCCTCTGAAAAATACACAAAGGGCAGACTACAGCCAGGCTTGCAGGAACTCATGGAAAAGATGCATACATGCACATGATGACCTGTTTATAAGTAGACTATGTAGTCCCAGCAACTTTCAAAAGATCCAGTGGTATTATGCTGCTGTCAAGAGAACAAGAATGCCATTTTTTCGCCTGACACTTGCACCTCATCTCCCTGCTCTTTTCCCATCTGTTTTTTCCCTCCTTGGGTTTTGTCCTTATCAACTGGCCTTAACAACTCCTTGACAGAGGCACTATCTTTCATGCTAGTACTGCATATTGCAGTACAGATCCCTGCACCTTGGCTGATGTCTCTGACCACTACCATAGGCAAATAGTTACTGATGTAGATGGCATATGAAACAGCAGTCTGGGTCCAATGCCTAACATGCTATGTAGACTTCCTCAGCAATCATTAATGTTCTGGTTAGCTCTGGAAGTGAAGGTATCTACTTTGTAATCATTTTACATCCACTGCATCATAAATCAGGCTTGACCAGCAAGATGGCAACTTCCCAATTAATTCCTAGGGCTAAGGGCTTGTGAATTTACTTTGGCTTAGAAATCTCTAATTCTGATGCATTTGAAACTGATGGACCTTCTTGTGGAGGGAAGAAATCAAAGCAGAGTTTGGCACTTGAGTATTAAAGAAAGTGGTTTACTTCTGAGAAGATAAGAGTTGTGTTTCAGGACTGTAGCCGCTGCCCAGAGCTCTATGTTGACAGTGGCCAGCAGCAGATGTTTTGGGGGAAGAAGGGAGACCTCTGCAAGAGGCAGCTGTGGGCAGTCTGCCTCTGTGTACACACATTTGACTGCAGCTGGATCTGTAAATGCTGAAGATCTGAAGCACAGAGTTTTATATCCCCTCCAGAATGTTTTTTACTGTATCTTGGGCTACTTTAGGTGCTAGAAATCCCCTTTTCCCTGTCACTTGCTAAATTCCTCATCTCGTGACCAGAATGTAGCAGTGACTTCTACAACCTGACTTTAAGATGTTTGAGAAAGGTACTTGTCTTCCTGCAAGTCTCATTCTCCACCTTTCAGTTGTTGAATACCCCCTTTCCTGTTATGGGACAGGGCCTGACCTATCATCTCAATCACTAGCAGCACCTTTTTTTACTGTATCACCTCTTATCTTTTTCTGAAGTAAACGAAGCTAAACTTTAGAGATTCTTCCCTTAAAAGGAGATTATGAGATTTTTTTTTCTGGCCTTTAATCTTTCTCACCATCCTCCATAAAGCCTCTTTTTTTTTTTTTTTCTGTAAAATGTTCTTTCAGGGGAGAGAACAGTGCTGGCCGCTGCGTTTGAACTTTGGTTGTAACATTACACAGCAGGAGCGTTTCTCCCATCTTGTTCATCTCACTTGTAACACATCTCCTAGGCACTCACATGCATTCTTCAGGCTGCCTTGTAGATTACACTTCAGTTTTTCTTGCCCTCAATTAATTCCTAGAAAGAAATAAGAAGCTGTAGTACAGGCCAACTTCATAAATCTTTATCTAATACTAGTAAGTCATTAGGCCTGTGAGTAAATTCTTCATCTGTTCCCAAAGAAACCACAGCATTTTCTACATTGTGTCAGCATCTACTCTAATATTTCCGCTCTCAGAGAGTTTTTGAGTTTTCTCCAAACGGCCCATATGTCTCTGCCTTTTCCTTTCTCTCTCCAAAGAAAAGCAAAGCAAACAGGCAACACACAAAGAAAGAAAGTAGAATGGCAGCCGCCCGTTCAGGAAACTGTACCCGCTGCATTATGGGTCAAAACTGACTCATTTAGGGATAGAGGCCTAAAATAAGAGCAGCCTCCTGTTTCGAGCAGGGGATGTGGCTCAGTAATCAGCCTGGGTGGTTTAGCAGTTTCCAGCACCACTTCTTACTGCAGCTTTGTGCTTTTTCACGCGACTGTTTCATCCTAGCACATTGATATCTATGCCCTACAGAGGTTTCAGGTTAAATTTCAGCTGGAAGTGTGTGTGAAGCCCGAGAAAACTAAGGGGGACCAAAGCAAGCAATTCTTGCAAGCCAAGCTCAAGCAAAACTGTCCTTAAAGCCGCCATGAGTTTGGCCTCAGTGGAGATTCAAAAGCAACTGCAATCACCATTATAGGCTACTCTGATGCTCTGGCAGTTGCTAATATGATTATGCACAAAAGGGTTCAAATGAAAATTGCTCAGTTGGCTAGAAAAGAGAAAGGGAGGGAGGAAGGGAGGGTGAGAGAAACGCATTTGAAACATTTTTTTTTTTGGAAATGCCAACTGGCTTTGCTGTGTTTGGAGCTAGTCAGGCAGAACAGCATGGCACCGAGCAGCTAATCAGTAGCTCCTGCTCCTTCCGAGGACACCCTGCTCCCTTGGCACTTGGCCCCGGTGCAGCCCGGCTCACTGACCTTGTGTTTGCTTATCCTCTTGGCAGAAGTGAAAGAGTACGAGCCGCCGTTCGGCTCCAAAGTGCGAGAACACCCCTGCGTGGAGAGCATGAAGGACAACGTCCTCAGAGACAGAGGGCGGCCGGAGATCCCCAGCTCCTGGCTCAACCACCAGGTAAGAGCGCCACGGGTGAGCGCCTCAGAGCCACGTCGTGTGCTCCACTGTGGTCCCAAGCACCGAGCGTAGCTCAGTGTCCTGACTCGCAGGATGGGCCTTTCCTTGAGCCAGACTGCAACTCTGTCGCTGGTGCCACCAGTGCTGCGTGTGGTGCAGACACCACACCAGGCTTAACCCCAAAGTCCTAAGGGCCACCAAAACAACAACAAAAAATAGTAAAATGGAGACTAGACTGTCATCCAGATGGTGACAGACTAATTGGAGCCTTAAAGCACACTGTGTACAGGCTCTGGAAGGTCCTGGAGAGCTGCTTCACGTGTGGGTCTGTTCAGCAGAGAGAGCAAATCCTAGTACTTCATCACAGAGAGCAGTCCCAGTTGCATCCCAGCTGTGACAGGATTAGGGAAATAGGAAGTAAGTCTTCAACAAGTAAGTCCTTTTCCATTGCATATCGTGAAGTATCCCGTTGGCTTTCTCCCTTCGTGGACAGCATGGTTTCACCTCCCAGCTGGTAGTCACAGCCCAATTTTTCAGTAAATCAGAGTGAATGGAGAAAAAAGTCAAAGCCATGCATTTCGCAGCCTGTGCTCTGAGCAGTTTAGTCAGAAGAAATAAAATGAGAATTGTATCAGAGGAAAAAGAAGTGAGGTTTGGTTCCACTTGTCAATGAAATGTGTTGGCTAGTCTTTGTAGAAAAAAAGGAAAGGATCACAAACACTTACAGGGAAAAAATGACAACCAAGATCTGTTAATATTTCCATCAGGGGCAATGTAATACTCTCTTTTTTGTTCTGTTTGGAATGTTAATTCATGGTCTAGCACCTACTTAGGAAAGGTCCAGTAAGTGACTCCAATCAGTGTCCTTTCCAGCCAAGCACAAGGCATCCTCTGCCTACGAGTGTGTCAGAGTGCAGCCCCTTCCCAGTCCACAGTGACCAGCTCCTTCTGTAACCATCTGCAAAGAGGAGGATTATTTGGGCAGAGGGTGCTGTAACTGTGCAGAGAGTTGTATTTTGAGGGACACGTGGATATCTCATTTCACCAATACTAAAAGGCCGGTAACATTTCTAGAAGCTAAAGATGTAGCCATTTCCTAGCTGACATGTTGAACAGGGGGAGAGTATGCTAATCTTCATCATCTTCATCTTTACTGAATACAACGGGTTACAGAAGTGTTAGAATATGGCTGAGCAAGTAAAAGTGATTATGAGTTGTCTGTGTTTTTTTGTTTTCCGTGAAAGTAGAAAGAAGTCCAATTCAGTAACATATATGCGCTATTTTAGAAAAGTCCGATTAACAAAGCAGAAAAAAAAATCATGAACTAGCTCATTTGGGAGAAAAAGTAAATGGAAGAAAATTCTTAACATTTAGGAACACTGAAAGAACGCTTCCCTGCATACCCAAAAGTCAAGGTCTCATGTGTGGGAAAAACAAAAGTAAAGAAGTGCAGAGACCTGATTTGGGAACCAGAAGAACAATAGGAGGATCTGTGGTCAGCAAACTCGAGGATAACAGCAGCTTTCTCAAGAGTAAAAGGAAATATAACTCAGTACCAATGCCTCACTGGGTATGAAAGGGAAGATGAGTGGTTACGCTCATGCAAAGGCAGAAGTGGTCAGCAAGTATTTCTGCTCTGCGTTTGGGGAAGCTGCTGTGCACGTAGCAGAAGATGGAGGAGGTACAGCCAAAGTCGTGGGCACTCACAGCAGGCTGGGGGCAGTGCTGAGGGCTCGTGGTCGGGCTACCTCGGGGACAGGGCTGCCCCAAGGGGCTCTGCCACAAGCCGGAGCACATCAAAAGGTGCAGCAGGAGGAGGAGGAGGTAATTCCTTTCCTCAGAGCCCCTGCAGCATTTCATGCTACACTCTCTGCAATTCAGTGATGCAGAACTTCTTTCCTATGAGGGTGACAGAGCCTTGGAACAGGCTGCCCAGAGAGGTTGTGGAGTCTCCTTCTCTGGAGATCTCCCAAGCCTACCTGGATGTCACCCTGTGCCACGTGCTCTAGGTGTCCCTGCAGGAGCAGGGGGGTTGGACTAGATGATCCCTGGAGGTCCCTTCCAACCTTGAGCATTCTGTGATTGTGTGACTGGCTTCAGCAGGGCCGTGGCAGTCGGCAGCAGCTGAGGGGCTGCTCTGAACCCTATAGACGGTGCCTGCACCGCAATGGCTCTTCCATATTCATTCCCTTCCCTCTGCAGTCGAGTTTTCGTAATGAACTCATTATTCATTGTGATGAAATTCTGCAATGGATTTACATATTACATTTTTTCTCCCCATAATGAGATTTGTTGCACTATTGATTTCAAGATAATGTTTAATATTTAATTTAATTTACTGCTTGTAATTTCAATACCAGCAGAAAAAAAAAATGTTATTTGTATACAGACAATAATGTTCTGCCATTAACATTGACATCAGTCAACATCGCCAATTAGGTAAATTATGCAATTAATGCAGTGTTGTGAAATGTTATTTTTTTTTAAATAAGAAGTTTAAGATAAATCCTACTTAATGGGCTTTTAGTGTCATAAAGCAAAGCACACAATTTCCTGGCAAATACCTCCTGTTTATAAAATGCATTACAAAGATGCAACTGTTTTTTTTGCTCCTGTAAACATGTGCATCAGCATTGAAATGAAGGTTAAATAGTTACATCTGTGAGTGACATGTGTTTAAGTGCTTGTGGGATTGCGGCCCATATTTGCACATAGATTTTGTTAGTTTGCAAGGAAGTCGTAAAGGGCTGATGCCGGGCTCGATATTGCTGGCAATCAGAATCTTGATCAGAAGGCCTGCATAAAATGCGGGCATGCAAAGGCATGGGTTGAGTGGGAAGTGATGTGATCCGAGAAGCCTGGTCATGTTTATAAAAAAATTACTGCTTGATTCTATAGCACTGGTCCAAAGTACCGTTTCTCCTTTTTATAAAGTAGCAGAATATCTATGTCCGGGAATGACAGCACCAGTTGCTGAAAATATTGCAGTAGTGTTTCTTTTTTTAACTCCCATTGCAATAACAGCAGAGCCCATAAAACACCTCTGGGACCAGTTCGGTAACCACTGACACACGCAGATAACTCTGCAGACTTGAGAGGGCACCAAAGCAGAGCGGCCCCAGCGCAGGCGGCGGGTGACTCAGTGCCCGGCTCTGGGTCACGCTGCTCTCTCTGTCTCCGGTCTCCGCAGGGCATCCAGATGGTGTGCGAGACCCTCATCGAGTGCTGGGACCACGACCCCGAGGCCCGGCTCACGGCGCAGTGCGTCGCCGAGCGCTTCAGCGAGCTCAAGCACCACGACAAGCTCTCGGGACGGAGCTGCTCCGAGGAGAAGATCCCTGAGGACGGCTCCGTCACCACCGCCAAGTAGCAGCAGCCAAGAGCTCCTGAAGGGAGGGAAGTTGCTCCTGAACACCTTCACCTTGGCCAAGGAAGGAGTCCCGCTCAGTGCCTTGACTCGCTTCCTGCAGGATGGAGACTGTCACTGCTCCCCTTATGCTGTGGCTCCAGATGGGGAGACCTCTCTGTGGGAATTGAAAGCTGGGGAGTAGGTGTCATACTATAGCATCGGCCGGCGGTATCTTGCCACGGGAGGAGCTATGTATGTTAGCACTTCCTCAGGAAACGAGATATGAGAATAGCTAATAACATTATGCACTTTATTAATGCCTGTATATAACTATGAAATTGCTATTTTTATATATATATATATAAAGTGTGTGTGTGTATATATATATCTATAAATAGCCATGCTCTGAAGGAAAAGAGGTAAAGTGCTTCCAGGAAACCAGCAGTGCACTAGGGAGCCCTTCCCAGTGTGGAAAGAGAATGGGGAGAGTGGCTTATGATGACACCAGCAGTTGTGCACTAAGCACCCTGCCCAAAAAAAGGGTAGGATTAATATGCAATAAAAAGGTGGCTTTCAAAGCACCTGCTGTGCTCCCCGGGCTGTGGCCCTGCAGTCCGTGTCACCGTGGGCAGGCACGTTGAGCAGGCTCAGCAGGCTGCCTTGGCTCCCTCCCATCAACACCAAAGTCCTCCCGGGAGCCCACAGCGGCGGTGCCAGGGGGTTCAGGCCATCCCACACACTTAGAATCGTTATTAGGATCATAGAATCAATACCGTTGGAAAAGACCCTTCAGGATCATCAAGTCCAGCTGCCCACTTGTTTCCATACAGAGGTCATTAACGCTATACGTGTAGCGCTTTCAATTTACACTGCTTGCGAGCAGGTTGCAAAAAACAGCAGCAGGATGAGCCATCCCCTCCTCACCTCCCCATCCCAATCTGTGTAAGGCAAGGCATGGCCAACAAGGGTCCGAGCAGGGGTTTATATTTGCTGTGCCTTCTTCATGGCCACGGTGCTTTTTACCCTTCCCTTCACTTACCTTGGTCATACTGCTGTCGCAACAGGCATTTTTGCCCCATACAGCATGTCGCATCGCTTGACGCACCGCATCCTGGCTTCCAGGCCTTCCAGAGAAAAAAAGCATAAGAAACAACAGCCAGTGCCTTTATTTCTGTGTGAGGACCTTGTTGGACCAGCAGAGTCCTCATCTACCTAGTGATCGGCGGTGATTAGTTTTAGGGAGACGGTTGCCATCACATAGGATTTACATAAATGGCAACATTGTGTATAATAAATGCTGCCAATGTTGTCTTCAGGTGGTTTTCTGTTTGTTTTTTTGTTTTGTTTGTTTTTCCCCCTCACCAGGGCATGTAAGTGGACCTCAGAAATTCGTCTGGCACAGAACAATTCTGCAGAGGTAAATACATATCCGGTGCAATTTATTGAAAGCCTTTGACAGATAAACACTGATATTTCTAGAAGGTGTCACCTTGTCAACCCATAGGAATCATATTTATTCAAATAGGACCCAAGATTTACAATGAAAAAAATCTCTTATTTAAAACGATTTTGTATTTGCTGGGTTTTTTTTGAACTAATTTACTCAGAAATAATTGAACGAAGTGGTGCAAAACATCAGCAGCTGCAGTTGAATTCTGAGGATCCTAGGTCAAATTTTATGGGAGGATTAAAAAAAAAAGAAAGGAAAAAGGGAAAAGGGAGGGAAGGAAAACCAGCAAAGCAACTTGCAGTGCTGCTGCTGAGAGGTGGGAGCTGCCCTCTAGCGCCAGCCTCGCCGCTGTTTTGCAAACTGGAAAGGAGAAGGGTCTTTCTGGTCCCTTTTCCCTCATTCCACCTTGAAGGGCAAGGAAAAAAAGTCTAGTAGGTCCTGATAGTACTGACAGTTTGGAGGTTTTTTTGTTTGGTTGGTTGTTTTTTTTTTTTTTTTTACTACTACATGTAAAGGAAAATTTTTGTTCTTTTAAGGAATACTTCACCTGTACATCATGTATGAAAATAGGAATGTGAACAATATATACTCTTGTTTATCAAATGTTTCGGGCACTTAACCTGCTTTGTAAACATTTTTGTTGTTGTTGTTTTGTTTTTATATGAAATCAAATGTTTATTAGAGCAAATAAAATAACATTGACGTCAGTTTCTTGGCTTGTGTGTCATCTCCAGCAGAGCCTGAAGAGGGAAGGGGCTC